CCCCCCCCCCCCCCCCCCCCCCCCCCCCCCCCATCCCGAGCTACCTCTGGAATGTGCCGCCGAGCTGTACTTCAAAACCCAGTTTGCCTGGTTTATAGAACACTTGGGCAGCCCCCCCGCCCCCGAAGGCTGTTCTCCCCCAGTAATGCGTATGGGGCGTCCCTCTCTGTCTTCTCGCTTTGCCGCCGCTCCGTTCATGTTAACTGGACGCTGACTTCTCTGTGGCTGCCATCGTGACCTTGTTAGAATCTCCCGTTACCCTTTAAACAGCCTTCCACGCTCTCAGAGCAGTGACTTTTTTTCCCCTTCTTTTCTTTAATTTGAGCTGTCCAGTTCCGTCCTATTTGGGCTTTGGTTATTAAACCCAGCAGCTTTTCCTGGGATTTACTGTCTTTTTAATTATGTGTCTATACTTTCGAATCTTGTTATTAAATGTAGTATGTTGTACTTTATCGTAAATAGTGTTTGAATTTTAAAACACACCTCTTGGGTGAAACATAAAGGGGAATTTTTAATCATAGTTTTTTTTTTCTTCTTTCGCAGTAAAAGGATCCAGCGTCTCTTGCTTTAAAAATGTATTCTAATGAGTTCTCAGATTCCAGAGCAGATTCGTTTTCTAATTATTGTTTTATTTGGCTGGGGCGGCGCGCCCTCTGCAGTGTGGCCCGCTGGGTGGGGCCACAGCACCCATATGCAAGCTGGGAGACATTTCATAAAAAATAATATTAATAATAATAATAATAATAATAATAACAAGAGCGATTTTACAAAAGGACTGGGAGGTGCCTGGGACCCCATACAGATGGTTGTTTATTAGCGTGACACATGCTAATGGTGGCCGTACCTGCTGGTGTCTCCTGCCCGCTTTGACAATTAGGGCCTGGGCGACTGTAGCCAGGGGTTAATGCCGCTCATTAAAAGAACTGGGTCGTTAGTGCGGAATCAAGGCTGTTAAGGCAGGATTGGGGTGGGGGGGGGGGGCGCTGTTAGGAGGGAGACGGGTGGGGGGCACAGTAAATTCTGCATCTCCAATGAACGCAGCTCTTACATTAATTAACCTCCCTTTTTCTCGTCGGAGGAAAAAAAGAGTGTGTTATCACGTACTCACATGGCCATACTCCAATTAATCGCAAGGAAAAGAAGCTGGTTTACTGTCATCCCTGTGGTCGCCTTGTCTTCCTGGGCGGGGGGTCTATTATTTCAGGGAGGGGGAGGACATCCTAACGCCTGGATGATGAGCGAGAAGGGTATCAAAATTAAGAAGGGAATCATGAGATCAGAAATCTGCTTTTCCACAGGGAAACAGGCGAATAAGAGCCGCGGAAATGGAAATATATAATCTTAGCTAATGCCTCACCTATGCAGCACACTCTCTGCGTGGACAGGGTGATGCGTCCGGGCCGGGCCCTGCCCTGCTCCACAGTGTTATTAAGCCGTCATGCAGGGCTTTGACCTTCAGCCGAAAAATCCGTGCATTTCACCAGGATATAATATGCGTCCTATTCGACGGGAGCGACTCTCTGAAAGACAACAAAGACAAGGGAATGTTAGCAAAGTACACATGGTGGAAAGGCCCGGAAAACCAACCCCTACAGGGGAATTCAACTTTAAATGGGGGAGCAAGCTGTACCCCCCCCCCCCCTAAGTATCTCTGTTTATAGCTTCTACATGACCTTTGTAACGTTCCTGCTCTCCCAGTTATCCCCCTCGCCCCCTTCAGCTGAGAATCAGCTGAGTATTGGAGTATAGCTTTTGCTTGACCTTTGTAACGTTCCCACTCTCCCAGTTATCCCCCTCGCCCCCTTCAGCTGAGAATCAGCTGAGTATTGCAGTATAGCTTTTGCATGACCTTTGTAACCTTCCTGCTCTCCCAGTTACTTCCTCGCCCCTTCGGCTGAGAATCAGCTGAGTATTGGAGTATAGCTTTTGCATGACCTTTGTAACGTTCCCACTCTCCCAGTTACTTCCTCGCCCCCTTCGGCTGAGAATCAGCTGAGTATTGGAGTATCGCTTCTGCATGACCTTTGTAATGTTCCCGCTCTCCCAGTTACTTCCTTGCCCCCTTCGGCTGAGAACCAGCTGAGTATTGGAGTATCGCTTCTGCATGACCTTTGTAACCTTCCCGCTTTCCCAGTTACCCCCTAGCCCTTTCCAGCCATGCGTTTGCCCATTGAAACACCCCTAAGCAGTGCAGGGGGAGCAGATAATTGGCCTTGCCGGTTAAAATCCAACCGTTTACCACTCATCATTCAGGCAAAGGTAAATCCTGCCCATGGATCCTCATTAGTGGGGGGAGGGGGGGCAGGAGCAGTGTGGTCCCCCCCCCCCCCGCCCGCCATCACCACCACTGCGGCTTAAGCAGTGAGAAAACCGTTTATTACGTTTATTAAAATGCATACATGGAGACATAATTACGTAAATAAATGAGGTAACAAATCTTTAGTGATTGAACACACTGGCTGACAGGCGTCTTAGATCTTGTACAAAAGCTTAATGTGCCCCCACCATTACAGAACGATGGGATCTTTTATTATCTTACATATTCTGCACCTAATTTAGTGCACTGTTAGGTACTGTATCGCCGCCTTTTTAATACTGTGTTAAGAACTTTAAAATTCAAGAACCAAATTATCTATATCATCTGCAAGTGTGATAGTGTTTTTAATCTACTAATTTCCCTTGCCCTGTAATGAGACATTGTCCTCTGATGGAGTGATTTGAATTCAAATGATATAATGCTTGAGATATCCTAATTTCCCCATACATATTTAATCTAACATATTATCTTTCTGTCTTGATATCCTAATGCGATAGTTCAGCCGTCGGCTCTTCTGGAACAAGGGGGATCGTTTTATCGTTACGTTTCTCCGTGAGGGATCTTGTGCTTTTCTTCTTTATTTAATGGAAAACACCGATCCATAAACAATGGCAATGTTTCTTGAGCGTGAGGGTCGCGGTTCCGCCGGCCGACATGGCCACGAGAGTCCGCCCCTTGAAGGTGCTCATGTTTGCCCACCCTTCCCTCTAGCCCTCCCCAGTCTGCCGAGGACTTTAGCTCGCTGCTAATTGGAGCCATCAGAGTAAACGAAAAAAGAAATTTCATTGACTGATTATCAGTTCACCACGGGCTCCCATCACAGAGATGCCTTGAACTGGCGATACATCACATACATAGTGGTAAATAAAATGGCTGCTCCAACACGGTTCATGGGTGATGATTTTATGGAAACGTCATACATACTGCAGCTCATATTACAATACTCTTTCTTCCCCATCTTTCGTTTAATATCTCTAGAGACACTAATTTATCAGTCAAAACTGATTTTGAATTTCAAATCTGTGAAGACCTTTTGGTTGAGGCCGTTTTTTAAAATCCAGCGCGAGGTTTGGGAAGCAGCATGGCTTTGTAACGTCGGCACAAGACCTTAGCTGTTGTCTTTGTAGTTTAAGGTTGAAATAACTGGATCATGTCTCTTTCTTGGTGATTCATATCCCTAGATCACCTTGAAATTAAGTCAATAATTTGGGAACTCTAATTAGATTCTTAAATGGCTGTTGCGGTAAAGTCTCCAATTAATTTCATCACTGGTTAGGCGGTAAAGATGGAAAGTATTGTACATATGCTAATTAAAACTGGTTGTGTTTATTATGTGCCTATATAACTTTAACTGCCGGTACATCTGTTTTTGTTGCCCGACCTTTACGGGGTGTGGGTCGGCTTTGTAGGGAAGGCTGCTGCAGAAATGTGGACTTGAAGCTACCCTGGAACTCGAGATGGCAGAGATCCAGCCTTTACAGGGCAACCGTGTCCTCGTCAGTCCTAATTTTAAAGAATGAAGACAATAGTGATGGAAAGTTTTAAGCAAGTGTGTGGGAGATGGGTTATGAGTTATCTTAGGCCAAGACTGTGAACCAGGACCAATTGCATCACTGCTGGTGAAGTCTATGTCCAATCCGGGATGAGTTTACTCCTGCTCGTTTCTGTGCCGTGGGCAAAGCTAGCCGCAGGATTCGAGCCTAAAGCAAGCCGTTGTCATATGAACTCTAGGTGAAAGCAGTAAATAACGTGGGTGTCGCCATCCATGATTGGCCGCGGACTTCAGCAGCAGCACCGCGATTGGTCCTGATCCACAGCGACACTCTGGCGGGATGGACGCTGACAGGCCAGAGAGGAGGCCTGCAGACGATGAAGCCATCACGGCGTTTACATGGGAACGCGAGGAGAGAAAACGGACACGGCTTTGCGGAGACACATTCGCAGGCAACAATGGACGAGTACAAGCCAGTGGTCTTGTCTTCCCTCCGGCCACTGGAGAAAGGAATGGGGGGGGGGGGGCAGCAAGGTTTCCACTATGCACTCAGAGAGCTCCGGGTGTTGACGTGATGGACAAGGAACATGCAGCAGGTGCTGGTCGCTGTGTGCAGGAATGACAGGAATGTCACGTCAATAATGATACCAGCAGTGCAGTGTAACACGGCACCTGCCATAAAATAGTAATTGAGAGGCGGTGGGGGGGTTATGGGTAAGGGGTATGATGAATTATTCCGTAAAATCTTCAGCGTAAGTAACGACGTCGTGGGGGAAAGTTGGGCTGGATCCTCTTAAGGCCCGGCTTCTCTCAGATGTTTAGCTACTTCAATGCAGAGTTGGAGAAGCCGACTTTGACAGTGGAGTCGGCTGCCTCGCCGGCTCGTAGGACGCCGCTGCTGCCCGCCCACTGCCGCCGTGCGTCGGGGCCACCCAATCAAAAGAGCCAAATTCTATTTGTTTTGTTCCAAGGGAGCACGACAAAGACCCCGAGCTCTTCCTCACGACGCTCCTGAAGCTGAAGGAGGAGGGACTGAGCTTTCAAGTGTCCGTCCTCGGCGAGACATTCACCGAGGTCCCAGGTACGAGGGGTTCGAGCGCGAGGGGCGTATGCTTTAAATTTATTTTTAATTGAGCGTTTTGGGGTTTCTAATGTTCTGGGAGGCTGGTTGTTACACCGCGTGGAAATAATGGATGGTTCTTAAAGACGGCGGTGAGAAACCAGTGCCTGTTTTCCACCGAGTGAAGCCTGTTGGACCCAATTATTGGCAGAGCGCCTCCTCTGTCGCCTGACATTCTCCCCCGAAGAGGCGGATTCCCAGCACGGAAAGGGCCTCCTTCAATCCCGGATCCTGCTCATTTTCCACAATCGGCATCTTACAGAGTCTGTTCCGATACACCGAGTTCTCTCTCTGAGACGATCCCCGAAAAAGCTGCCCGTACAGCCGACAGACATTTATTCATTTTTAGGGGTTTTAATAACTCAAATATATTTACACCAGTATGCAGCAGTAATGATGAGTAGAGTGACATATAATTTAGTAAATTCCTTCTATATTAATAAGTTGTAGAGGTTGGGTTCACCTGGCAGACCAATACGCTCAGTGCTAAGGACAAATTTTATGTTTTTTTATAAAATACACCCCCCATTAGAGTGGTTGATGATATTATAATGTCTCCGGGTGCACACGGATATCTCTGACGCCGCATTCATTAATTAATACCGCCCGGCCCGGCCACTGTCTGCATCCGTACCCCGCCCAGGAAGTGTACTCTCGTATATTGGAATATTGAGTTTTATAGCAGCATAAACTTGTAGGAAGTGCGGCCGTAAATTTAAGTCATATTTAAGAATTACAGTTAAGATTACTCGAAAGGTAATTACATTTAAACCATTTTAATCTAGTTTGATTTTCTTAATAGGTGCACGGTATTGATTTCCTCTTGCCGGTGTATACACCCTGTGTAGCTGCTGGGTACGGGGCCTCTTTCAGGGCGGCTCTTTCGCTCCGCGGGGGGCCGCCTTGTTGTCCGTTCTCCTCCTCCCTGCCCCTCGGATGAGGGAGTCTCCAGGACCCCTCTATTCCAATGGGACCCCTCCCTTGGTTATTCCCTGACACTCTCAACCCCCCCCCCCCACCCCCGCCTGGAGTGAACATCGTTCACAGATCATTACTTTTCAAAGAAATTTAAGCGCGGAATGCCATTTAATTTTTCCCGGCGTATTCCGTCATTAAGGAATCGCGGCTGTCACGCCGATGCCATTTTTGGCGTGATGTGTTTGTTGCCTCATTTCTTTTAATTCCATCTCCATTAGCTTAATTCTTTTTTAATATTTTCATCTAACGAACTTTACAGTCCATTTTGTCCCAGTGTCTGCTAAGCGACTTTTATGAAACGGGCTCTGGCTGGCCGGTTCCTGCGCGCGGTTGGCCGTTTGGGCGGGGAGCGGCGGTGGCGGCTCTGTCAGCGCATTTCCGCATCTCCGTTCACCGTTCTGCTCCTTCGCCCTGATTATACAAGCAAACGATGGCATAAAGTTCGTTAAGAAATGAGCGGCGGCTAATAAAGCTGAACTTCCGAGGGCCGTCCTGGCGCCACGACGGATCGCTGGCCGTTCCCCTCCTCTGCCTGTCTGTCTGCCCATCCCTCACTCACTCGCTTGCTCTCCCCCCATCTTTCCCCCCCCAGATGTCTTCTCCGGTGCCAGGGAGGAGCTGGCCGCCCGCGTGTTGCACTGGGGCTTCCTGTCCAGCAGAGAGCAGTACCTGGAGGTTCTCTGCCAGGCCGATGTCGTCGTCTCCACCGCCCGGCACGAGTTCTTTGGCGTGGCCATGTGAGTCCCTCCCGCTCGCCGGTTCCCGCCCTGCCAGACGCCCCTCCAGCCTTCTTGCTTAATGATGGTCTATCGCAGGGTTCTTCAACTCGCGGTCCTCGAGGTCCGAGCACTGCTGGTTTTCCAGCCTTCCTTTACCTGTCAGTCAGGTGTGAAGCCTCTGACCAATCAGAATCAGTAATTATTAAACAACTACCTGGGAGGACTGAAAACACGGCCTGGATTTGGAATCGAGGTCCAGAGTTGAAGAACCCTGGTCTGTCGGCTGATAAGATGTCTAGTTTTCCCTGGTGTCCACCCACTGTTAGTGATCCCTTCTACATGTTTTGTGGTTGTTCTCCTCACCGTCCCGCAGTGCACAGGCGTGTAGGCTAATCCGGAGAAGGCACCAGGCTGCCTTAGGGGCCTCTTGTGCCTCTTGGCGCCCCCGGTGGCAGGGCGGTGTCACTCTGCTCTGGCGCCTCCGCAGGATTACGCTCCCTGGCGACTTACCCAGCATTCCCTCTCCATGGCTCCTCTCAGCGTTTAATTACTGGGGAGGCTGCAAAGCCTCCCTCCCCAGACGCAGCAGCTCTCGAGGCTCCGGGGCGATGGTGTGTGTGCGCGTATGCGTGCATGAGTGTGTGCGTGCGGGGGTGCGGGGGTGCATGTCTGATCTAGGTGTACGTTGCGGTGTTCACCAGCAAGGTCTTGAGTCCCCCCCTCCGTGGCCCCTCCCTCTGTCACCCGCTGGCTTTGAGGCTGAATCCAGGTCATGGGATAATGGGAACTGGATTCCTCTGTATGCGAGTGTCCCTGTGGGCCCCCAGCTGGAGCCCCACCTCACAATGTGGCGTAATTAGCTGCTTTACACAATGGGCTGGGGAGCCGCTGTGCCCCCCCCCATGGACGCTGGGGCAGCAGGTGCCAGCGAGGGAAGATGATCGCAAGGTCATGGGTTCGAATCCCAGGTCAGACTCAGGGTACACTATGTCATTCCCTGTGACACCCACATGGTCACAGGTTTGAGTCCTGGGTCAAACTCAGAGTACGCCATGCCATTCCCTCTGATACCCGCAAGGTCACGGGCTTCAGTCCTAGGTCAGACTCAGGGTACCCCATGCCATTCCCTCTGATACCCGCAAGGTCACGGGTTTGAGTCCTGGGTCGGATTCAGGGTACGCCATGCCATTCCCTCTGATACCCGCAAGGTCTCTAGTTTCAGTCCTGGGTCGGACTCAGGGTACGCCATGCCATTCCCTCTGATACCAGCAAGGACACGGGTTGAGTTCTGGGTCAGACTCAGGTTACGTCACACTATTCCCCATGACAACCACAAGGTCATGGGTTCGAGTGCCCAGATGCTTTACGCATACAAAGCCGGGCGGTGGGGTAAATGATGGCTTACGGGAGCATTAAACCTCCAGGTCACACACTGTCCCAGAAAAGGGCGCCTTATGCGTGACTGGTTTGTTGACACACCGGCTCCACATCCGGATCTAGCGCCCCCTGCATGTCTGCTCCACCTCCACCTGAGCACCACGCAGCAGGAACTGCAGAGTTTTAGCACTCTGCTTTTCTTGAGGGCAGAAGCTGCAGTCTGAATTCTGGTGTCATTACCGTCCTGGGGGGGCAGGTGGTCATCTTCTGGGCTGAGAGTCTAACTAATGAAAGTGAAAAGTGGCTTTAATTGGCTTGATTGGCCCCGCCTTGGCAGACAGAGGCGGGCCCCCGGCTGAGGTGTGTGCGCTCCTGCGTGGGGAATATGGCGTCCTTCTGAGAAGTCTGAGGGGTGGGCCAGGGTGAAGGGGGGGCATCTGCTTGCCAAGTGCTCACCAGCCACGATCCGCCTTTGATCCCCACCGCCCTGCTGCCCAGACGACAGTGGCTCGCCCACCCACCCTGCCGAGGGGATATGATTCCTGGGGGGGTCAGGCCAAAGATGACAGGAAACGGACCCCCGTGACTGGCGTCCCTTAGAATATTCTAGAATATTGTGATATGAAGTTCTGACAGGACGGCGTCATGAAACACACATCACTGGAGTATGAGTGCAGAAGCACAATTGGATGTAAATACTTAATACGTCATGTTAATAAAAGCGTGGTGTGCATTTTACAGTAAGTAATTTTAATTCTGTCTGCTAAGCATGACAGCATTAGCATACCCATTTAATTAGCGGCTGATTTAAGGGGGCCCTATTTTAATCACCTCTTTGTAGTGGCTCTTCTTCGTTACTGCTTGCGGTCACACTCCACCTTTTTCCTTTTTTTTTTAATTTTCCGAGCTGTGCTTTCGCCCCTAAGAGTGGGGGTGCCTGGAGAAGCGGGCTGAGGTGTCGCAGTCGGACCTGAGGCTCATTACGGCAGAATTTAACCTGTCTGATTCATTATTGCTGAATAATGTGAGCGGGGCCTCTCTCAAAGCCCTCCGGTGATAGTAACTCAGCCAAACAAAATTATCAGCTAATTATATTTAGAATCAAAAGCCCCATAACTATTTGCGCATGCACACGCGCGTGCACACACACGCACACACACAATTTATGGCCCTTGAAGTGAATAGGACTTGATATTAAGCTTCATAGATCCCGGCAACAATGTATTAAGTTGAGAGGAGCAGACATTGTCTGGCCGTTTTGACTGGAGATCAATTAGAATCCTATTTGGGATTTAATGGATCATGTGAGGTACGCTGTTTTTCTGAGAGTAATTGCACAAAAAAGACGAGGAGAAGGTTTCCTGTGGAAGTAAGCCGTACAGAGCGCAGTCAGCCTTTTTATCGCAGAGAACAATTCGGCTACATCCCAGTGGCGGTCGTTTTGTCTGCTCGTCTGCATCCACAAATAATTAGAAATGTAGCGAAATGTGGCCCCGTCTTGCAGTTCTCTCCACTAATTTGTGTTTTAGCATGAGAGATGCCCGCCTGCACCGGCTGCATATTCATTCGGGGGGTTTTATGCGCCGTATAATTAACAGCCTAAAAGGAGCCTTGAAAATGGGGTGTGTGTAGGTACTGAAGTTAGTTTGAATCCCCCCAGAAATAAAGAAAATGATGTGTCACAGGCTATTTTTGTAGTGTTTTTAATGAGGCTGCCTCTGTCTCTTCTGCTTTGGAGATGTTCTCCGAGTAAACTGGCTGCAGACCGAGGGTGCGGACGCGTTCTCAGCGGGGACACTGCTGCACCTTACCTTTGCCGTAGGTCTGCACCTGTGCTGCACGTCCCATAATGTGCCCAGTGTCGCTTTCGGAGGCGGCATGTGGACCTGTGGCTTAAGGATCTAGGCCCCTGTCCGTCGGTTCGAATCTCACGGCCGGCAGAATCATCAGATCACGGTTAGCCCTATGGGCCAGCTACTCTGGATGCTCGCTGACTCCAAAGTCACATGCTATTTTTATGTTGCAATTTAACCATTTATTAATACCCAATTCTTGTGTTATTCTGCAATTTGACAACTTAACTTACTATTTACTACTGTATTTTTGCATACATTTTTGCATATTTTTGCATACTAAAGAATTATTTGGTCCAGACAACTGTACCAACGTCAAAATATTTTGAAAAGCAGAATGAACATAAAATGCGTGAAATAAAATACTTTTATTTAAAACATTAACATTGTTTCGAAGCTGCAGAAATCCGGTCTTTGTACATCCTCAAAAGATGACACATGCCGCTTTCTTAATAAGGCCTTTACAGTCTAGTGTTTTTTTTTGCCCCGGGTGTTAATGGAGACCAGATTTTGGTGTCGCCTCCTTCTGCATAAACATCGTTGCCGCGTCGCGGGCAGGACGCGCTCTTCCAGAATGCGGATACAGAACGGAACGCCTTTGCTTCTCCCACACAGTCCGTTTTGGTTGGAGTTTCTCGGCGAAGGTGAGGGGAGACTGCTGCCACGATGCGCTCCGCTTGTTTTTATGTGTGTGTGAAACGGCTCGGCTGGCGTAGCCCCCGTTTACTGGTCAGCCCCCCCGGATTGGCCTGTGACGCCTTAAATGCCGCTAGCAGGGAACGCTAACCACCTCTCTCATTTCAGGTTAGAAGCTGTTCACTGCGGGTGCTATCCCCTATGCCCGAAAGCACTGGTCTATCCCGAGATATTCCCTGGTAAATACCGTAATACGTGTCATCAACATGTCCACTAGCGTAGTGTGTCTTTTTGTTTATGTAGAAAGATCCAAATTTTCGGCACTCGAAATAGAGTGCAAAAAGCCAAGGCAAATATGACTACCGCTTCTTCAATAATTCTGGGTGTTTTCAGGTACTTTTCTCTTTCACTGTTCTGTTGCCTAAAAGAACTATAATCGCTGTAAGTCTGCATATATAAGTGTTTAGTATTTATTTGGTACAAGATAGTTAATTTACCCCAAGGAGGTGAGGGCGTGCATGCAGTCACTGGGAAGAGTCTGTTTTACATTAAAAATCCTTTTGAGGTGAGGTAACTTGGAAAAATCACGCTTTAATAATGTACAGCGTGGCACAGAGCAATATGCATTTTTAATTACTGAAGTGACTAATATCTGGGTTCAGCTTTGAGGTTTTTGTTTCATGAAATATGTATGTGTTTTGCTTCTTTCTCTAGCTGAGTATCTGTACTCCACACCTGAGCAGCTCCGTAAGAGACTGAGAGACTTCTGCAGGAGGCCAGACCGGCTGAGGAGACATCGCGTTAAGGTGGGTGTCACACCACTGCCAGATGGCCCCCACACCCATTATGGAGGGGCACGGCGATCAATTCGCGACTGGAGAATGTGACTGGAGCAACAGTGAATTATAAGGGAAAGAAGAAAAGGACTTTTTTTCTGGTACGTCAGTGAAAAAGATAAATTGGGCTGATGGAATCCCTCTTTGCCAGTCATTTTTGGAAAAAATAAATCATATAACATTTTCTTAAATTTTGATGGTATATCATTCTGAGTGCTATATGTGGCATCAGTAGCATTTCAGGTATGAATATTCAGAAGCTTGATTTCATTTTAAGGAGCTCAATGCAGACAGGAGGATTCCTCCAATTAGCACGTAACAAATAATCAGGTCTGACTCCTGTGTCAGCCGCTCAGGATTAGAGGTTCAAGCACTAGCTATGGGGCAGATTAGTAATTCTCTGATCCCATTTACCAGCGAGCAGTTCTCCATCAGAGACTCACGTCCTACTTCCGTGGCGCCGTCCGGGGGATACGGATCTAATGAATGAGGAGTTTGGAAGCCATCCCGCGGTGAATTGTCCAAAAATATTTAACTGTAATGGAACGTTCTGAGGGAGGAGGATGCGGACCTTCGGTGGGTGGTGGCGGTGGTTGGGGGTGTGTCGATGGCGCGCAGCCGGACTTCAGATGGCGTCGGGATTCGAGTATTAAATTAAAATGTCGATCCCTGGACTGGACGTGGAAATGTCTGGCTGTTTACAAAGGTGCCGATGGTCACAGTATTAATGTGGCCGGTGTCTGGTTGGAGGCCTAACCCTCCTCTGTACTCCGTGGAAATGGTTAGATAGGATGGTCTGAGAGCTCTTTGGCACTTTGGTGAGTACGCTGAGCTGTCATACAAGACCTTCCGAGAGTTAAGGGCGTCGACATCAAAAAAAAAAAAACCCCACTGGATCCATCGCTACATTGACGTGACTTCAGGTTGATCTAAAACATTATCGTAAATTTTTAAGGCTTTATTCTTAATTAGAACAGAAGACTCAAATAAAACGGACGCAATGTATGTAAATGGCAGATCCAGGACTTTTTTCAGGGGGATTGGCGTAAGAAATAAGCACAATTAAATTTACTAGCGTTTTACAGTTTGCTGACAGTGTGAAATCAAAGCGAGAGCAAAGCAGTGATGCCTTTGCAGTTTCCCTTAAAGACTTTTGCCACAGTGACACAGCTTCTGCTGATAGTGTCTGACTTTATATGTGCGCTGTGTTTTATTACGGTATCGTGCTTAGGGCTTGAGGTTAAATCGTGACCGGTTACTGTTAGCAGTACCAGCCGTTAATCTCCTAAAATCATCCTGCTAAGTTAATCGCCCATCGCATTAAAAAGTCGCTGTCATGTGACCCTCACTCAGTGTAGAAGAGAGATGTAGGAGCAGATAGGCGTAGGGTTAGTGTATGCAGAAAAGTTTGTCAGGATTCAGCCTGGTGATTACAGTCTTGGCTTCGTATGCAGGCAGGCGAATGGAGCAGGCAGGCGAATGGAGCAGGCCGCTTGCTTTGCTCGGGTTCGAGGCGAGTCACATGTAGGCGGCGCACGGCTGTAAGGAGGAGGAGCCTGGGAAAAAGGGCGGGTCAGCAGCTGATGGCTAAATAATTGATCGCTCTCGAGAAGTAGGTAGAAGAAACGCCAGCGAGGGGGGAATGCGTGCTTCATCGCATCTTAGCCTGGCTGCTGCCACCGCTGCTGCTGCAAAATGAGGCCAAATCGCAATAGTATTGTGGGGGAGCGCAGGGCCGCGACAGACCCACGCATTATGCTGCCCAGCCAATTGTAAATGAACGTCTGTTTTTAGCTATGTGTAGCCAGAGGGCTGAAAGCTTTGCATTCACGGTGTGTGTGTAAAATACATAACGAAAAGTTAGATCTAATTTAAGCTGATAGGAAGTATTATAGTCAAAAGTATGACGGTTGAAGTCGTGCCCTGGGTGTGTCACCATTTCTGTTGTGTACGCAGTGGTGCCTTAGCAGGCTGGTCTGGGGGCCCCTTCATGGCGTCACAACGAACGCAGGGCTGGGCCAGCGCCACCTTGCAGCTTCCAGAAGAACGCAAGGCGCCGGTGTGTGTGCTCCTGAAAGCGGGCAATGAGGGACACCGAAGAGAGCTTTCCGGTGAATTCTGAGGCTAAGCAGGCCACTCCCTGCTGGCGTAGATCCAGGTTCCAGTGAATTCTGAAGTTGTGTAGGCCACTTCCTACTTACCAAGGTCTAGTTTCCAGTGAATTCTGTAGCTGTGTAGGCCGCTTCCTACTGACCAAGGTCTAGTTTCCAGTGAATTCTGTAGCTTTGTAGGCCGCTTCCTACTGACCAAGGTCTAGTTTCCAGTGAATTCTGTAGCTTTGTAGGCCGCTTCCTACTGACCAAGGTCTAGTTTCCAGTGAATTCAATCTATTGCCAATCACAG